CTTGTCTTCTCTTGTTTTGACCTTCCTAATCCACCCATTAGATGTGTAGGATATACCTTATGGCCGTGTCCAGACGAGCATGAGCGTGCGCCTGCAGTAGCACAAATTGCCTCAGCACATATCCCTGCATGTGCATTTAACTGCGGGACAAACTGTCCCACAACGGACAAACTGCCCTTGTGCCCAGCTCCTCCCAGCTCTTCAGCCAGGGAAAGTGGAGACTGGGGCCAGCGCCTGTCCAGCCTCAGCAGTCTTACCTGGTGGCTTGATGGCGTGCTGGAGCAACAGGGCCAGCACAGAAGCCTGGTCAGCACAGAAGCCAGGTGTTGCTCTGAATGGCCTAGCCTCGACTTGTGCTGGTGCATGCCTGTTTTGCGTGCTTTGAGCCACTTTTGTTTCTGGGCGTTATTTTGCTACCAGGAAATCCCAGTAGCAAATTTGCAGCATTGCACACATTTTAACATTCACTGAATATGGTTCGTGGTGCCACAAACCACATCTCCCTGCTCACATGGATGTGGCCTTTGGGTTCAGGCCATTGTGATATCTGAACAACTGTAGCACAGAAAGTCTTCCTACAGCCTCAAAAGAAAACAAGCAATAATGATGATGATCTGTCTGAATTCAATTAAATTACAGATCAAGGTTCTATTGTCCTAGGCACTGTACAAAACTATAATGCAATAGTCAGTCAACTCTGTGAAACTGTTGCCACAAATCCCCATCACCCACTTTTCCTGACTTCTGCTATACGTCAGATTTTTTTTGGTCTGCTGAACTTTTTATTAATAGATTGATGCAATATAGACCAAGATCTGTACTACACCACACAAGGAGAAAATATTAGTGATTCAGTGTTCTAAACTGGAAGGACAATAAAACTGAAAGTGATCTGTAGGGGAAAAAAAGTAAAAAAGAGGCCAAATTCTCCTTTTGCCACCTCTACCTATACTAAGCAGACATGAAAATGTTTCTTTATTTCCTGCGTAAAGAATAGGTTCAAGTGGTAATTCTACTCGGGTTTTTTCTAAGAAGTATCCACACGGGGCTTTGATTTATTGGACAATTCTCTGGGGACTCATATGTATATAGCCATTGTTTATAAAACTTAACTGAATGGATATGTTTGCTGGATTGTTATCAAGGAACTTTTTTTATCCTAAGCACTTCTCTCACAAACAAACAAAAAACAAATGGATTTTTTTCAAATAATCTTTCCATCTGCTTTTTCAGACCTTCAAATGTGTTCTGGTTCAAATAAGTTTAATTTTAAAGCAATGTAGTTAAATTGGTCCAAAATGTTGTGCAGAGACCTTGATTTTTATTTACACCATATTTAACTTGAACTCTTACTGAATTGTAATCAAATGATAAAACCATGTTTAAATCAAATTATGAATGTCCACACCAGATTCTGCACAAACTTATTTTTAAATTAATTCTAAAGTTAAACTGTTACAACTTTTAGAATTGACATAACCTCAATTGCTCAACTCTCAGTTTCCCATCCTACTATTTCACCAGTTAACAGAACAATAAAAGAACATTTGAGGGCACTGATTAATGATTTGAAGTAGTGCAAGAATATTCTGATTGTGCTCAGCCAACCAGAAGATGAAGCTGGAACATGAATTAAGAACTGTTTGTTCTCTAGGAAAATAAATTACTTCTGCAGATACCACAACTTTAACTACAGTACTACTAAATTTGATACAGGGGCTAGGTGATGGTGCAAGTTTACTAACACTCTCTTGGAAAAAAAATGGCTTAACACTAAGAGTTTAGGCAGCATTAAAACCTAACATGGAAAAATCATCTTTGAAATGTTCACATGTATTTGAAAAACTTACTACAATGAATGGATTCACCACAATCCAAATTTGAGTGAGTACATTTGCAGTGTGTATAGTTCCTTGCAATTATTTTTTTTCTGTTCATTGGAACTCAAATGTAATACTACATCTCTTTATACTGCATGTTTATGGCTAATAAAAAACAAGAGAGATTTCCATAAAAATGCCACAGAATTAAATTCACAAAGTTGACTTAGCTGACATCATTCTCCAAATAGCTATTGTAAACTCTGGAAATATTAACTTTTCCCTTTAATGATAAGGAAAATGTAGTCTCATACTAGGAGGAAACAGTAGCTGAACGAGTCAGTTTGAAGTGTAAGACATTTTAGACATACTTTAGGAGTGTCTGGGCATATTCACTTAGCAAATAATGACTCAGACTTTCCTGAAAATGCACTGCTAACTAGGAGGCTGTTCGAATACCAGAGAAGAACTAGCCACTGTAAGATACTTTTACAGTGAAAGTAACTGCTCATTTAACTTCAAAACACTCAAATTGGCTGTGGCCTTTATTCCAAGTGGTATTTAAATTGCAACAACCAGAATTATAACTTAGAGTAGACCCTGCTGAAAGGTACTCCACTTGCATGCACATCAGGCAAGTCTATAATTCACTTAACTATATAATACAATGCCACTCCCATTTACATCATAAAAAATATTGATTAGCTGAATATTATGTAATTGCATAAACCGCTTTAAGTGCACAGGAGCTCTCCGTCTCAATGTCTACTTTGTAATGTAACTGTAGTCCATTTAGCTTCAAAATTAGTTAAACTAACTAACATCTGTCAATTTTAAAATGTATAATGCATCCTTGAACCCACTAGATCCTGGCAATTTCAAGGCTAGTATTACAGGTATAATGTACTCTCTGAAACATAGGAAATAAGTCTTATCGGATAAGCAAAAGCTTAGGGAAGGCCATCTCTGAATTTAATGAGTACTTTTTACCTGGAGATTGGGTAGGGGCATATTCTGGGTAAGTGCGCGGTCTTTCCTAAATCCAAGGACCAACAGAGTGCACCGCAGTGAATTTTCAATTCAATACCATTTGCTGTTATATTCCAACACACAGAAGGCCAAACTATCAAACAATTATCTGTAGACTTTACAATAAGATTAGATATCTTTTAAATGGCATGCTTTGTCCCAAATTGTGGGGAAAGTTTTGTGGTCTCTGTAACCAGAGCAGTCAAACTACAGGTCGTAGTGGTCCCTTCTAACTTTATGTTCTACAAACCTGTAACTGGCATCAAAACCTTCTGAACTGGGTAAAGGAAGTTCTTGAGATCCTACTAGCTGATCAATTGGTTCCTCTTTGGTTGGTTCCTCCTTTTTAGATGACATTGAGGATGATCTCACATACAACATTTTACTGTTTCTGATGACTGACTAATCAAAGGTGTGTTTGTCTGGAGGCAAGGCACTTCCGAGACTAACTGGTTCAGAGAGTCATGAGCTGTTACAGGCAACAATCTACTTTACGTGGGTTTCTTGCATCTGTTCCTAGCATGTAAGGAGTCAACAATAAAGTACGTTGTTGCCCATAACAGTTCATGCCTCTCTGTCCCAGATAGTCCCTAAGGCTGAAAACAGACATTGAATTTGTCCTGGGAAAAGTTGTGTCTGTGTTTGTCCCGCAACAGAAAAGTCTCAGGATTGGCATTTACACACATCACCCTCAGGTTTAATGAGCAGCTGAATATACTGCCCCTTTTCTGCCACTGATTCAATGTTGCAATCCTGACACAGCTGTTCAGATGTGGTTTGCAACATCCCAGAACTGTTTGTGTGAAACTTCTTAGGATTTGTCCCAGACAACAGACGTGGCCATCTGAATGGCTGCACTTTGTCCCAGGATAAAATGGTTTCTCTCAAATATGAAGTCTGTCCAAGGAGCCTCCCTGCCCTACCTTCTGTCTGGACCATCAGTTAACAAACAGACTCTGTTTTGCCGACCGTATAGGAATACATTCTTGTTTATTTAACATAAATCTTACACTATTGGTCATGTACTAAAGACACTTGTGTTAATGTCAAAGACGTTTCAAACCGGAAAGCATGTAGATAATGTGAAGTGAGAGGCCCAAAAACCTTATCAAGACTGTTAGATTCATAGATTGTAAGGCTCGAAGGGACCTCACAAGGTCATCGTGTTGATGGGAGTTACAAAAAAAAAAGAAGAAGAAGAAGAAAAATGCTTAGTTTAAAACATAAATAGTCCTCTAGTGGTTTATTTACGTTACGCAACAGGAAGGTGGGGATGAGTCAAAGCTCTGTACTGGGACTATCATTGTCACAATCAGATTAACTAAAGAATCTCCTCAAAATGCCTCAAGCTTTAGATCCGTTCTCCCCCCTGAAGGCACAAACTTCCCTGAGAGCAGGAAGAAATAATGATCCTCCTGGGGTCAAATATGAGCTGTATACGACGCAGGTGAGAAGCCATGCCCATGGGCTAGCAGGGCTAAGACATACCAGTTCCTTTAGGGCGGGGGCATTAAACTCATCTGGCCCAATGGTCCAGATGAGTAGCACAGGGCTGGTCCACGTGCCCAATTGGGCCCGCACACCTCTTTCCCCCACGCCCGATCCAGCAGCTAGCCTGGCTGAACCACACAGCAGCAGTGCCCATCCCAGCTACTCTGGGACCCACCCTGTGCCCAGTGCCTGCTCTCAAGCTGTGAGCCTGCTCCAGCCCATCCGGGAGGCTGAACTGCCCGCCGACTAGTCGGAGACATGCCAATAGGCCTGGCTATCTTCCCAGCCGCCTCTTTTAGCCCACATGGCGCGGGGCACTTCTGCGACATACGCAGCGGGTCACGCCAGCACGGTTGTAAGCTGCTACGCCACCACCTGGCACCCAAACCTCCCCGAAGGAGCGGAGGAAGCCTCCAGGCCTGCACCCAGTGTGCGGGGGGCACCCTCAATCCCAAACCCTCCCGGAGCCCCAGGGGCAGGGCAGGGCCGGAGGGAACTTGCCCAGCCGCGCGCGGGCAGAGCAGCGGGATGCCGGGCGGGACGGGGCAGGGCAGGGCGGGGCAGCAGCCTCCCCACAGCATAGCCCGCAGTCCGCAGCCTCCCCACAGTCCGCAGCCTCCCCACAGCATAGCCCCAGGGCGGCCTGGCCCGGGCACCTGCTGTCCGTGGCCGAGGCCATCTCTATGAGGGTCTCCTCCTCCTTCTTCCCCAGGCGGCTCATGGCTGCAGCCCTCTCGCCGCTCCGGGCCCCGGCAGCGCTGACT